CCAAAACTACATGGAGAAGCTCTGTCTCGAAAAACCAAAAAAAAAAAAAAGAAAGAAAGAAACCTAGACAATATAAAATAGCTTACAGTACAAAATTCACAATGACTGCTATCCAGTTTTTTAAAAGTCAGTGGGTATGTACAGAAACAGAAGTCCAGGACCCCAGAGGAACAAAGATGCTTGGGTGATAGAAATAGTCAAGCAGTGTGTTTAAAGAACTATAAATATACTTCATATGTTAAGAAGGAAAGGAAGCCATGAGCATGAGGTTGAAAGCCATGGGCAGATGGCTCAGTGGGCAAAGACAGCTGAGCATCCGCGTCCAATCTGAGACCCACATGGCGGGCCACGAGAAGACTCCAGAAAGTTGTCCTTTGTCTTCTGAGTGTACACGCGCGCGCACACACACACACACGAATACATTCATACACACATACAAATATACACACACATACAAGTGCACATATACATGCACATACAGATACACACACATGCATTCATACATGTACACACACGCTACATAAATTATAATAGTGTGGTAGTTTGAATGTAATTGGCCCCCACAATCTCATAGGGAGTGGCACTATTAGGAGGTGTGGCCTTGTTGGAGGAAGTCACTGTGGGGGCGGGCTTTGAGGTTTCCTAAGCTCGGGAGACCATGCAGTGTCAGTTGACTTCCTGTTGCCTGGGAGATGTAGGACTCTCAGCTCCAGCACCATGTCTGCCTGCACGCTGCCATGTCTCACCATGATGGTAATGGACTGAACCTCTGAAACCGTAAGCTGCCACCTCAATGAAATGTTTTGTTTTGTTTTTTTATAAGACTTGCTGTGGTCATGGTGTCCCTTCACAGCAATGAAAACCCTAAGACATAAATGTAAAACATGTCAGAAGACTAACAACCATGCTGGGCGCCACAGAAGTAGTTAAAGACAGAACAACAGAAATGCCCCAGGATGGAGGCAGAGGAGAATCTTAAGTTTGAAGAACATAGCCTGTCCCTGTCTCAAGAATAGACAGGCCAATGAGATGCTCATCACTTGCTGCCAAGCTTGATAACCTAAGTTCAATGCTCAGGACACACATGGTGGAAAGAGATAACCAACTCCATAATGTACTAAGCATATGTATGCACATACAAACATACACATATTTAAACATACAAAAAAAGAAATGCCCCAGGATGAGGCACACGGAAGACAGCGTGGGAGACAGTACAGATCAGGAAACCATAAACATGACGGCCATCCTAACATTGAAGAAACAGGCAGGAGGATCCTGAGCTGGGACAGCCTGGACTACAAACTCCCAAAATACAAGAGCTGGTTGGTTCAAAGGTCTCAAATCTCACCGTTTATACCATCTAAAGCAGCCATGAGTCCAGCTGTAGACGATCCATCCAAAGGCCCAATCCCATCCCATCCCCCCCATCCCCCCCCTCCCCCGACTGTGAAGTTAAAAGACAAGTTAATTGCTCCCAAATACATGGGCAGGCCAGGGCAGAGCCGGCCTAAGACATTCAGAGGGAAGAGAAGGGGAGGAGGGATCACGAGGGTTCACACCATGCTCCAGAGCTTCCTAGAGCCCCATGTAAGAAATAGAAAATACATCCGGGCCAGGCGGCAGTGGCGCACGCCTTTAATCCCAGCATTTGGGAGATCAGAGGCAGGTGGAACTCTGTAAGTTTGAGGCCAGCCTCGTCTACAGGGCAAATTCCAGGATAGCCAGGGCTCCACAAAGAAAATCTATCTTAAAAAAAAAAAAAAAGGCGGTTCATTTCCAAAGTGCCTGGAGTCTGCGTCGGCCCAGTCGCCAACGCAGAGGGACCACCAGGCCTCTGGCTAACGCCTCCTAGCCCAGCTGCCTCCACCTAGACTGAAATGAAGAATTATTCACAGCTGAGCATGCCTAATGGCCTGCAGATGTGACAAAGCCGTGTACCTGAAAAGCTTAAAATAAACAGGATGTACGATTCGGAGACGAGCGCATGCGTGGATGTTGTTGAGAAACGACTCGGGTCCTTCCTCCACCTCCCAAGGGTTGAGATTACAGGCATCCTCCACCATGAGCTGTTTTGTTTTTTCAAGACAGTGTTTCTGTGCAGCCCTGGCTGTCCTGAAACTCACTCTGTAGCCCAGGCTGGCCTCGAACTCACAGAGATCCGCCTGCCTCTGCCTCCCGAGTGCTGGGATTAAAGGCGTGCGCCACCGCCGCCTGGCCCACCATGAACACTTTGATGTGAGACGGAACCAGAGCTCTGTGCATGCCAGGCAGATGCTTTACCAAGAATCACTCTTCAGGGACTGAGTGCTGTGACCTGCCCCGATATCAGGTCTCAGACTCATTTCGTCACACGTTCAAGGCTATCTTCAGCTACAGTGAGGTTGAGGCCAACCTGGGATACATGAGACCCTGTTTCCAAAACCTAAAGACACAAGAAGTTTTGGGTCAAGCATTACCCCACCACACACACACACACACACAAAGAGCCAGAGTGATGGTTCATACCCATGATCCCAGCCCTTGGAAAATTCAGACAGGAGAAAAACTGTGAGTTCAAAACCAGACTGGGTTAGAGACAGACCTTGTCTCATAACTCAAGTGGCATTTTTAATTTTAAATTATATTTTTAATGGTGTGTGAGAGAGAAAGCGACAGAGACAGAGAAATCTGTGCAAGGGAGAGGGAGGGAGAGAATATGAATCTGTGCACTTAAGGGCTAGCCAGAGGCATCGGATCCCGAAGTTTCAGACAGTTCGGTTCTGGGAACCAAGCTCAGGTCTTCTGCAAGAGCAGCATGTACTCTCTCTCTCTCTCCCTCTCCCTCTGAATAATTGCCTTTAATTCCAGGGAGGCAGGGGCAGTTGGAGCTCTGAGTTTGGGGCCAGCCTGGTCTACATAGTGAGAATCGGTTTCAAAAACAGGGAGAAAAAAACTAAAAAGTTTCAACAAATGTAAACACTATAGATGTTCTGAGGCCACAGTACAAGTAGGGTAAGATCAGTGGTAATGGGCATGGAATTTCCTTTTTGGAAAAGTTGGATCTCAAACACGGCCAACGTCCTTAACGGCCACTGAACTGTGTGCTTTGAAATGGCTAAAATGGTTAAATTTATTACACTAATAAAAAATATTTACTTGTATTGGTGTGTGTGCCATGTGAGTGCTGGTGCCCAAGGAGGCCAGACGAGGGTGATGGGTCCCCTGGAGCTGGAGTTACCAGCAGTTGTGAGCTGCCGAATGTGGGTGCTGGGAACCAAACTCGGGTCCTCTGCTAGAGCAGCCAGTGCTCTCCAACACGCCCCCCCCTCCTCCCCAAATAGTTTTAAAACACAGTACTGACAGTGTCAATCAATAAAGCCAACAGCTGCCTCCTTGGAAAGATGAATACAATCAATAAAGCTAATGGGCACAACTTGGGCGATTAGGAATTAGAGTCGCTGAGCTAATCCCATGTCTGAGTCGAATCCGGATAAAATCATCCGACTGATCAACACTGAGGGACGGTCCACTAAGCCACCAGCCTGGACACTTCAGAAAGACCAGAGTCACAAAAGCCAGCTGCAGGCTGATGTGCTGTCCCGTGTGACCTTGACGCCAAACTCAATGCCTGGTCTTAGGCCAGCAGCCCCGCGCAACACTGAGAAAACCTGCCGATCTGAACGGAGTCCCAGGCTCCTGCAAGTTGAGTTTCCCAACCCAGGGAACTGTCCTCAGCATGTGCACCTGCCGGAGAACACGGGTGTAAACGACCAGGTGTCTGCAGCTGACTCCACAGTAGTTCAGGTTCAAATGCACCCAAGGAGAGAGTTCAGAACTCAAGTTCTCTCGGGAGGCAGACGTAAGTAGATCTCTGTGAGTTCGAGGCCAGCCTGGTCTACAGTGAGTTCCAGGACAACCAGGGCTATACAGAGAGACCCTGTCTTGAAAAACCAAAAAATAAAAGAAATGAAAACTCTAAGTGAACAAACACCCACGTCCTTGCGAAAGCCAAGCTGCTGCCACCACCACCTAGGAGAGCGACAGACTATGAACTCACGAACTCAGGACAGCCCTTTGCAACACCCCAGTGTTGAGCATGGCTCAATGCCAAAGTTACTTCACCATGGAAAGGGGCCCTCCTAAGTTGCCCTGCACCCCGAGGCTGGCACTAGTCCTGAGATGTAGAAATCCACGTGAGCCAGCTCTTCGGCCACAGCTGGCTCTTGTCACTGCTGGGCACAGCTCAGGGCTCTGACAACCCTTAGATGTGACAGCTGGGTCCCAGTCAGGCACAGGCTCAGTCTGGGCTCTCCCGGCCACACACCCCATCCCTCCCGCACCACTGACAGGACTCACTGGAGCCCTCCGAACATGCATGCCCACTGTTCCTGGCTCACAAGGTCCCCGCCTGAGGGTGACTCAGAGTGGCAGCCACCGGCCCCCGAGGTGAGATGAGCTAAACTGGATCCATATCCGACTCTACCCTCGGCAAGTCTGGCTTGGACTTGAGCCCACGGAAGTAAGAGAAGATTTCAGAAAACCTAGAGGAAGAGAGAACCCTCTGGCACTCACCTGGAACCAGGAGGAATGGAGAAAACAGTCACTTCTGCAAGCTGCAGGCCTCCCTCTGCCCTCAAGAGCGCTGGAAGGAGCTTCCTGAGACAGGTGTGCCTCCTTCTGAGGAAGGCAGCCCGTGTCGGCCTCGCCCCCACCCTGGGAGCCCACTTGAGCAGCGGCACACTCAGAATCTCAACTCCCAGGACGAAGCTCACATCGTCACTTAAGGCCAGCAAAGGGCACAGCGGTCCACACGCAACAGCTCCTGCCCCCGTCTCCCCGGCCCAGCTGCTCTTTGGGGGGACTGGGACTTACAAAGATGCCCTCCAGTCGGAGGACCCCCGTCTCCCTGCTGGCTGCTCGCCCACTCAGCCGGGCGACAGACCCAGCTTTCCCACACCACACATACCATTGGGTGAGGGCTGTGGCCACAATACCCCGTGAAGAAAGACTCGGGAGGGTCGGGCACAAGCGTTTTATTGGCCACAGGCAGCCTGCAGCTGCCCAGCACAACACACACCTGCACTCACTTGACCTCTCGTGAGGGCCCGTGACCCAGCCCCCAGCCATCCCAAGACGACCCTGGAGATCCAAATGCTGACCTCCTGGGCCACCCCCTCCTCCTCCTGACCCCTGCCCTGTCCGTTGTGTTCTTGCCGCTGGGCAGCAGGGCTCTTGGGAATGGCACTGTGAGTGCCAGGGTGGTTTAGCCCTCCCATGGCCCTGCCTCCAGCAGGCCACTCAGATGAAGAAAGGCACTGTTGGTGGGTTGTAAAGGAGGAGCCAAGCCCAGTCCTGAGCTGACGACTCATTTCTTCTCGGTCACAGGTCACAGCAGCCGGCCTTTCCTCTCCCTGAGACAGACGTCCCCCAGTCTGACTGGGAGGGTTCAGAATGAGGCAGGTCCCTTTATGGTCGGACCAGGCCTCAAAGTTAAGCCACGAGGCTCTGCCTGCCCTTTGCCTTGGTCCACAGGCAGGCAAGCCCCCCCCAAAGGGCTCAGCTCCGGTAGCTCCGGAGCAGGTGCCCCGCGATGACCAGTCTCTGGATTTCGCTGGTGCCTTCATAGATCTCTGTGATGCGGGCGTCTCGATAGTACCGCTCAGCTGGCATCTCTGTCACGTACCCCATGCCGCCCAGGATCTGGATGGCCTAAGAGGAGAAACAAGGCTAGGAAGGAGAAGTCGCCCACACAGGGGAAAGACAGGGTAGGGACTCGGCGGCGTCGTCACAAGGGGAGCGGCTGGGGAAAGGGCCACACCCATGGGTCCGTGCTCACCTGGTGGCTAATGGCGGTTGCAGCCTCAGAGGCAGCCAGCTTGGCCATGGCCGACTCCTACCCACCAGGAATGGCAGAGTTAACACCTTCACTTTCAGAGAGACCCCCCAGCTCAACCCCTCCGTGAGAGGAGCGTGCACAGCCTCCCCCTTAGCACAGTGAGCATGCAGGCCTACATCTGACTTCTCCTTCAAAGCTAGGCCCGGGGTGCCCCCTCCCCGACTTCAGGCTGGGCCCGGGGTGCCCCCTCCCCGACTTCAGGCTGGGCCCGGGGTGCCCCCTCCCCGCAGGCACCTTGGTGAACGGCTTCTTGTTGTCCTTCAGCATGGCGGCACGCCAGGTCAGCAGGCGGGCACTCTCCAGGGCCAGCGCCATGTCTGCCAGCTTGAACTGCAACAATTCAGTCCCCTCCATCAGCCGGGGGTGGGGGGGATAGGGGGGTGGTCCAGGGATGGGAAGGGTGGGAGGGGGTGGCAGGGTGTGTGTGTGAGATAACAGGCGAGCCAGGGAGAAAGCAAGGCTACCTTCCCTCAGCCGACGCCCAGCTCCTGAAATCCCACCCTTCAACCCCCTACCTGGATGCTTTGGAGCTTGGTGAGGGGGGCCCCAAAGGCATTGCGGTTCTCAGCATATTTCACAGCGCAGTCGAGGGAGGCCTGGGCGATGCCCAGGGCCTGGGAGGCGATGCCGATGCGGCCCATGTCCAGGGTTTGCTGTGGGGAGCGCCGGTCAGGAGCTGCAGGCTGGGCCGGCCCAGGGCCGGTCCCCGGGGTGCTACCCTACTGCCAGGCTCACCATGGCTATCTTGAAGCCCATCCCTGGCTCCCCCAGCAGGTTCTCCTTGGGGATGCGACAGTCCTCGAAGATGAGGTTAGCTGTGGATGAGCCCCGGATGCCCAGCTTATCCTCCTTCTTACCCAGTGTGAGCCCGGGAGTTGGCATGGGAACCAGGAAGGCACTGATACCCTGTAAGGCCCCAAGAGTTAGAGGGACTCCCGGAGTTGCGAGAGCCCCACATAGGCACCCGAGCTCAAGCCCTGCCCACCCCAGCCCCAGTACCCTCTGCTGGCTTTGGGGTGCCAAACCCCGCTGGGGAAAGAAAGGCCCCACCTCAGCCCCAGCAGGAACCGCCAAGAAAGTTCTGGCCTAGAGACCGCAAGGGCGCCCCAGGGGAGTCCTGGCCCATTCTGGGGCCCCACCTTGTTCTTCCGGGACCGGTCTGTGGTGGCAAACACCACCGTGGCCGAAGCCTCCCACGAGTTGGTGATCCAGGCTTTGGTGCCGTTGAGGACCCACGAGTCACCGTCTTCCCGGGCCGTGGTGGAAGCAGCTCCCGCATCACTGCCGTTCCCTGCCAGGAACACAGACTGAGGACCCCGTGCATGCACCCCTCAGGGCACAGGGCATCTGGCGGTGAGCCCCGGCTGCCAAGCACAAACAAAGAACCTGCGACTTGGGCTCTGAAGCTGGCACCTGGCTCCCAAACCCGACTCACCCACGAAGACTCGGGGATCAGAACAGGCACGGGACATATTCAAGCCAAGCCTTCCCTCACCAAGTGGGCACGCGCCTCCTGCTGTGGCCAGGCAGCTGCAGTCCAGCCTGGCAGCCACCCGGAGGCCCTCCAGTGGTTCAGAACTCCAGGAACAGCAGGTCTAGGCCTGCCTTTCCCCCTGGGGGCATCTGGCTTCTGCCTGTCACCCTGATTCTGAGGTGAGGAGACGGGGACCCTGCACCATGCAGTACCTGGCTCACTGAGGGCAAAACAGCCAATTTTGTCACCACTGGTGAAGGGGGTAATCCACTGCTTCTTCTGCTCTGGGGATCCGAACTTCAGGATGGGCCCCAAGTAGAGAGACTGGTGGGGAGAGCGGAGAGTTAGAGGCCACCCCAAGACTTACTCTCTCCAGAGGCCCTCCCGGGGGACTACAAGGAGAGGAGTCCAGGAGCCCAGGCTGCTGGGAGACACATGGCCAGGGTCCACACATGCTTCCCGAGCTGTGCCCAGGACCCAGGAATGCTCACGTTGTTGACGCTCATGATAACTCCGGTGGAGGCGCAGCCACGGCTGATCTCCTCTAGGGCAATGGAGTAGGCCAGGTAATCCAGGCCCGCGCCACTGAACTCCTCCGGCACGTCCATGGCCAGCAGCCCGAGCTCGCCCATCTTCTTCACCTGGCCCCAGGAAGGGAGAGCGCGTCAGCGGCAGCTGCCAAGAGCCTGCTCTTCCCAGCTCCAACCCTGCAGCCCAAGCCAGAACCTGCACACTCAGGCCAGGGACCCTAACGTTCCCACGGTGACCGGACCCCCCAGCTGAGGTCTGCATGGCAGCACCATCCATTCCGGCCATGCAGCCTCCACACTTGGCAAGGCCTGTATCTGCCTACAGCTGCAACAGGGAACAGGTAGAGGATGCCCACTCGAGGATGCCCACATGCACACCACAGGACCTTTGCACGTACCATTTCACTGTTTACTCAATTATATCCTCCCCACTTAATACAGTTCACAGCAGGAAGTCCCCATCTATTTCCCGCTCCCTTTGACTACAGCCTTCTCCCCAGACCACGAGGACAGACACCTCTCCCCTGACCACGAGGACAGACACCTCTCCCCAGACCACGAGGACAGACACCTCTTGTGGTTTTGTTTTTTCTCTTTACTGTCGTGTGCCCAGTGCCAGTGAGGGAATGGATCAGTGACATGTGCTTGGGGTCTCTGTTTGAGGACGAGGGCAGCAGCGGCAATGGTTAACTATCCAGTGCACAGCGAACTTTCTACTAAGGGATGGGTGTGCACGGGTTTCTTCAGCCGCTCTATGAAAGCAATACTGGGTTAACCTCCTAGGAAGGTGGAACCAGGGCTCAGAGAGGTTACACAATCTGCTCAGGGCCACAGAGCATCGAAGGCATCAGTTCTCAACCTATGGGTCCCGACCCCACTGGGGTAGAACGGCCTTTCACAGGGGTCGGTCGCCTAAGACCATCGGAAAACACAGATATTTACATTATGATTCAAAAGGGTAGCAAAATTAGTTGTGGAGTAGCAACGAAAATTTTATGGTTAGGGTCACCACAACATGAGGAGCTGTATTAAAGGGCCGCAGCGTCAGGAAGGGTGAGAACCGCTGCTCTAAGGGGTGTGAGTAGTTGGGATTGAAAACTGAACGAAGAGAATCTTAGCTTTTTCCATCACTCAACTCGACCCCCGAGGACCCAGCAGATTCCTTCACCTCTCAGCCTGCTGTCCAGAGAAGGGTGGACCACACCCTACCTGACTTCGGAAAAAGACCTAAGGCCTCGGGGGATCTGGGACAAGGATGGAGGAGGGTGGTCGCTACCATGAGATCTTTTACGGTCAGTGCCCAGTGAGGGCTGGTTCCATGATCCCCTGCAGCTACACAATGCACAGCTCTAGGCAACGGCACCCGACGCACCCTCCACACACTTAAATGTTTCCCTTTATTTTTATTTTGTGTCGTGTGCGTTTTTTTTTTTGCCTGCATGTGTCTGCACCATGCGTGTGTAGCGCCCACAGAGGCCAGAAGAGGGCAGATCCCCCTGGACTAGAGTTACAGACAGTTGTGAGCCACCGTGTGTGTGTGTGTGTGTGTGTGTGTGTGTGTGTGTGTGTGTGTGTGTGTGTGCCGGGAATTGAACCATGAATTTGAGTTGGGGAAATTGTGAGAGGGAGCGAGGGGAGGGGAGAGATGGTGTAAAGAAGTACTCATGCATTAAACTCTCAAAATAAAAAAAAATTTTCTTTTGAGGCAGGGTCTCTTGTAGCCCAGGTCGGCCTGGAGCTTGCTATCACTTTGGACTTCTCATCCTCCTGCCTCCACTTCCTGTGTGCCAGGATCACAGGCAGACACCACTTCCTGTGCTCAGTTATGAGTTGCTTGGACTCAAAGCTAGGGACCTATGCTCTCCAGGCCAGCATGTGCCAAATGGGCTACATCCCCACCCACATTAGTTTGTTTTTTTTTTCCAGTTTTTTTGAGTTTCAAATAAGGGTACTCTGCACTATTCCCATACACCATACACACATAAAAATATACTGAGTTTAAAAAAAAAAAAACTATTTAAAAACATTTTTTTCCTCCACTGAGAAGGGTTAAGTTTCAAACCCGGGACAAAGGGCTGAGATGCCACTTAACGTATCTAAGCTGGGCCTGGCCTTAAGGCCCTCAGTCCGTACCTCTTATGGGGTGTGGCTGGCATACCCCACCCTCCACCTTGAACTCTCCAGCCCAGGGGCTGTGCGGCCCTTCCCCCAGAGGCTCTTCCCTCTATAATCCAGGTATTTTGGTCACACACACCCCCTTTTGTACCTTTGGCCTCCTGGTTGCTGCACCTGGTTCCCCTTTCTCCCCTCTTCCTTTCCCTCCCCCTCCACACATGGCCCAGCTCATCACGGTCAGGTCACCTCCACTCTGGGCTCTCCCAGGTGTCCCGGTCTCTGCCTATGCTCTCCCTTTTACCTACAATAAACTTTCCCCTCCCCTCCTAGGAGCAGCCATGGCCTTAGAGTCCTTTCCTTTTGATTTCTTTTTTCCATTCCCTGGGTGCCCTCAAGACTCAGGACTCTAAACCTAGCACCCCACCCCCAAACGAAATAACCATTGCAAGGCTAAGAACTCTGAAGCTGTAAACGCTGGCATTGTACACTTATATTTATTTCTTTTCTTTGTTAGTTTAGGCATAAAAAGACTGAAGTCCAATTTGGTTGTGAAATGGCCAAGGCAGAACCTGGCACCAGCCTTCCTGAGGCTTGCCCACTTCCCACAGAGCAGCCCCTCGGCTCCTCGGCAAACCTGCTATTCCTATTCTGGGGAAATAAACCATTCCTCAGCAAAAAGCTCAGAACTCTCCAAGCTCTGGGTTCTGCAGAGGTGGCTCAGAAGACGTGAGTGTCATGTCTGACCTGTTTCCTCAGCAGAAGCTTCTGATCATAAAGAACAGGTTCTCATGAGCTGCTTCGAAGAAGACATGGGAATGCCATATGCAGCACACAAACGTCCAGACATTAGCTACAGGTGTTGTTATTAGTATGCCTTTGCTCTGGGGTTGGTTTTTATTGGTTTGGGAATTTTGTGGGGTTTTTGATGATTTTGATTGTTTGGTTGGTTTTTGTGATCTCACTTTGTAGTTCAGGCTGACTTTGAACTTGGGATCCTCCTGCCTCAGCCTCAGGAATATATCATGCTTTACTGCTTAAATTCTTGTGGCCTTTAAAAAAAAAGAAAAAAAAACCACTTTAGGCAGGGTGTCCCTCTACTGTCCTGGCGGCCTGGAACTCACGCTGTAGACCAGGCTGGCCTCAAACTCACAGAGATCTGGCCTTGGCCTCCTGAGCACTAAATTCTCTGGGATTAAGGGTGTGTGCACCACCCTCCAGTTCTCTGCTCTCTGGCTACATTCCCTTTGGGAAGACCCTACTTTCTCTATTCTACTCTTGGCGGATTTTTTGCCTGTTTCCAGTTGAGCTGTTAGAAAGGAAAGGAAACACAAATGTTCTTGTGCGTGTAGGTGGGTGAACAAAGGCACCCAGTTTGGTTGGACATATCTCCAGGGGTCACTGGTCACAGACAGGCTTTACCCTGGGGATGGTATTGAGCACGACACACCTGCACACATGGCGGAAGTGGAACCGGGAGGAGGAAGTCATGGGGCAGCTCAGGGTGGGATAGTGAGACACCTGGGCCACCTGAGCTGGGGACATGCCTGGTGGCTGTGGAGTCACACAGGACCGGTCAGTGTTTGCTTCTCTCTCTCTCTCTCTCTCTCTCTCTCTCTCTCTTTTCCAGACAGGATTTCTCTGTGGAGCCCTGGCTGTCCTATAACTCACTCTGTAGACCAGGCTGGCCTCAAACTTAGAGATCCGCCTGCCTCTGCGTCTTAGGTGCTGGGATTAAAGGCGTGCGCTGCCACAGCCTGGCTTGTTTGTCTTAACTGAGGATTCTGTCTGCTTACTTCCTGTCTCCGTTATTGTAGAGGGTTCTAAACCTCCAGGTCCAGAATAGAATTTAATGATTGTGAAGACTCACACCACGGGCCCCTGGCATGCTGTGCTGCTGCTGGACCTAAAATCCTAGCGCTCAGCAGGGAGCCTGGGACAGAAGCATTGTGACTTGTGAGTCCAGGACTCTCTCTTGAATAACAAAGCCCAAAACACTTGAGGGATTATAAAACCCAGAAGAAAGCAAATGTATTGATCTGTCAACGGGTAGGGAGATTTCGACACACGGCCCAGTCCAGGGCAGTGGCCTCCCTGTTGCTCAGATGCCAGAGTCTGAGAGACTGACTCAAATCCTTCCCATCCACCATTCATGGAGCTGTCCCTGAGGTCCCGCGGATGGCAGGGAAGCCACCTTCAAGTTGGAATGATGTTGTCAAGCCTCCCCTGTCCCCCAGAGGACCAGAGTTCAGTTCCCAGCACCCACATCAGGCAGCTCACAACCGCCTGTAACTCCAGCTCCAGGCGATCTGACGCCCTCTTCTGGCTTCAGAGGGCACCTGCGCACACCTCACATACCCCATCCCACACGCATAAATAAAAAAAAAAAAGCCAAAGAGAACAACCTCAGAGGCCAGCTCAGTGGTAATGCACCTGCCAAGCAAGCCCGGTGACCTGCGTTTGATCCCTGGAATCTATGTAGAGGTGGAGAAGCCTCTCCACACAGCTACCCTCTATCTCCCCACACACGCCATAGCATACACACACCCACAAACACACACACGTGCCATACACATAGCATACACGCACAATAATGATAATTATAGTTAAGACAAAAAAGAAAAAGAATATGGTATTAAGAGGTCCACTGTGCCAGGTGTGGTACACAAGAGGCAAAGGCAGAGCTCGGTGAGTTTGAGGCTGATCTGATCAACACAGGAAAGTTCCAGGCCAGTCAAGGCCGCACAGTGAGACCCGGTCTCAATAAAGCAAACAGGGACTGGAAAGATGGTTCTGTGGTTAAGAGCACTTTTCTTGTTTTTCAAGACAGGGTTTCTCTGTGTAGCCTTGGCTGTCCTGGAGCTCACTCTGTAGACCGGGCTGGCCTCGAACTCACAGAGATCCGCCTGGCTCTGCCTCCCGAGGGCTGGGATTAAAGGCGTGCGCCACCACCACTACCTGGCTGCACTTGGTGCTCTTGCAGAGGACCAGGGTTCAATTCCCAGAACCCACAAGGTGGCTCCTAACTGCCTGTAACTCCAGTTTCAGAAGATATGACGCCCTCTTCTGGCCTTGACAGGTATTACATGCACATGATGGGTAGAAAAGCAGGCACACACATAGGCATTAAATTAATAAATAATTATTTTAAAAAGTTTTACAGCCGGGCGGTGGTGGCGCACGCCTTTAATCCCAGCCCTCGGGAGGCAGAGGCAGGCGAATCTCTGTGAGTTCGAGGCCAGCCTGGGCTACCAAGTGAGTTCCAGGAAAGGCGCAAAGCTACACAGAGAAACCCTGTCTCGAAAAACCAAAAAAAAAAAAAAAGTTTTACAAATTTCAGCAAAAGGCCTGAAGCTGAACAAAGTGAACCTTCCGAGCATGTACTGAGCTTCCTACCTGAGGTCTCGGTGCCTCTGGCCGCTGCCACTCACACAAGAGCAAGTGGCTGAGGCCACTCTCACCTGAGCTGCGGGGAAGCGATGCTCCTTGTCCAGCTGGGCTGCGATGGGGACCAGCTCCTTCTCAGCAAAGTCACGGCATGTCTGACGCAGCATCTGATGTGTCTCGGGCAGTTCCACAGACTGGTAGACAGTATGTAACCTGCGCCAGTCTCGAGGATGGAGAGCTATTGGGGAGAGCAGGGGTTAGGGACAGGCAATGGAAGAGATCTTAAGATTTTACTTCTTTTTACACAGCTGTGTTTATGTTGGTGCACATGCATGGAGGTACCCACAGAGGCCAGAAGAGGGCGTCAGATCCCGTGGACCTGGAGTTACAGGCAGTTACGAGCTGCCCAACGTGGGTGCTGGGATCTAAATCCAAGTCCTCTGCAAAAGCAGCAAACGGTGAAGTTGGGGGGGGGGGGATCGTTTAAGCCTGGGGTTCAGGCTAGCCTAGGCAAATTATCAAGACTCCATCTCAGACGGCTCAGCGGTTAGGAGCACTTGCTGCTCTTGCAGAGGACCTAGCGAAGTTCCCACCACCCATGGGGTGGCTAACAATTGTCTGTAACTAAAGTTCTAATCCCCTCTTCTGGCCTCTGGACAGGGCGTGTATGTTTTGCCAACAGGCAAAACACTCATACACATAAAACAAAAATAAACTTTTAAGAAAAAAAAAATAGAGCACTTCTCCAGATCCCCCACCCTCTCTCAAAGGGAAAAAAAAAAACAACAACAAAAAAACAACTTTATTGATACAATGTCAGTAGCTGTTGCCGAAAAGCCCAGGCTAACGGAATGCTTCACTGCTGGCTAAACACCTGCATCCCCAGTATAATCCCAATTGTAACACCTCGCAGAAGGGTTTAAGTTTCACTGGGTCTGGATTTCCCTAAAGTGTGGAAAACAACAGCGTACAGCTCCCAGGAGTGGGGGGATTAAAGAAGTACTAATGGCCGATTTAGCACAGGTCTGTTGTTACTGTGGATCTGGATTAGCCAGGGGAAGCGCTGGTCAGTGTCAGGGTTGCTACAGAAGAGACAAAACACTTAAAAGAAAAAAAACAAAACAAAACTAAAGGCTAACATGGTTATGCAAACACCCGTTAGATGCCAGCCGCGACGACTTTATCCGCATCCTGTGATTTAATACAACTCCGAGGACAGTAACAGTTCACACTTGGACCAGTTGATGCTGAGCGTCACGTCCAAGGTCACAGGTCGGAGTTCAATGCCAGGCCTCGAAATTGGAGGACCAACTCACCCAGAACCTCAGCTGGGACTGAAATGGGGGGACAGGGGTGTGGATGCGACCTCGCAAAGAGGAGCTGGCGACGAGGGTCCTACGGGGAGGGAGCCGAGCAGGGGCGGAGATCCCCGCAGAGCCCGGGCCGGGCACACGCCAGAGGCCACCCAACTAGGGCAAAGGCCGCGCGCGGCCGCGGGGTGCTGCCTGATCGCCCGCCCGCGGGGGCCGCAGCAGGACCCGCCGTCAGCATCTCCGCCGGCCGGCCGGGCCTGGGGCTCCGCGGGGACAGCCTGGGCGCACTCACCTCGGCGGAGCGGGCCAGGGGCCCGGGCGAGCAGCGCGGCGGCCATGGACACGGACCTCCCAGATCTCAGGCTTGCAGCTGCAAAGTGTTCCGGATGGCAGGGGCAGGGCCGGGGCCCCGCCCACTGCCCACGGGGGCGGGGCCGGCGCGGAGCCTGGGCCACGCCCATCTGACGGTAGGGGGAGGAGCCCAAGACGCGCTTGCGCCCTAGGGACGAGGCCGCGGGATGTTAGTCCCGCCAATCCAGAGTGCAAATTCCGTCCGCTCCTTTTCCAGCCCTCTTCTTTAGTAAGGCTGCTTACAACGCGGAGGCGTAAAAATAAAAACAAGGGGCTGGAGAGATGGCCCAGCGGTTAAGAGCACTGACTCAGGTCCAGAGGACCTGAGTTTAATTCTCAGCACCCACATGATGCTCACAACTGTCTTTGACTCCAGTTCCAGGGGACCCAACACCCATGGCAAAACAACAATGTACATAAAAATAAAATAAAATAAAACAAAACAAGCAAACAACCCTCGGTTTAAAACCCTCAGTACGAGAACCCATTCCCTAAATCCAGTTCTATACAAAGAGCACACACACACACACACACATCCTCAGCCCAGGCCTGTAATCCTAGTTACTCTTGAGGATTGCAAGTTCCAAGTCTCCCTTTGTTACAAAGTAAATTCAAGGCCAGCTTGGGCAATTTTGTGGTATCTGGCTTCAAAATAAAGAAAGTATACATAGGGCTGGGGACTACAGGTCAGTGGTAGAGCTCTTGTCTAGAGGCACGAGGCACTGGGAGAGAAGAAAAGAGCTAGTCCCTACCCTGGCCCACCCTGCATCCTGACAGTGTGATCCCTGGCTCCTTGACCATCTTTGCTCCGTCCATCCACGGCAGGCAGCTTTTCTATTTCTGCCTGGATGCCCCTCTTCATCTCACCAAGGCTGTCTTGCCAGCCTTCCTCCTCCACTGGAATTAAAGGCGAGCTCCACCAACTCCGGCGACATCCACACTTTGCCCCGGGAATGTTTTTACTTTTTATCTCTCCTAATAGTCCTACTGTTTCCAAAAAGGGCTGGAGGGCTCAGTATGAGGCCCATTGCATGGGGTTGCCAGGCAGGAAGAACCCTGCCGCCCTGAGATGTGAAATACAGCTACTGTCCTAAGCACCTCCTAGTCGGGAGCAGAGCCCTGTTGGGAGTAGGGGTGCTGCCCCTTAATGCCAAGGGTTGAGTCCTGGCACCTCAGAATACCTTCACTCTGTTCTGGAAACTATGTCAACATCCTTTGGACTACAGGGCCCACCAAGTCTGTTATTATTCCTAGCTGCTTCTGGAGTCACATGACTGCGTGTGTGCTGTCGACAGTCAGGCAAAATGCTTAGTCCTGCGAAATCTGTGTGCAGTGTGATCAAGAAATTTATGCGCATGCATGGCATAGCTACATAAACCTATATACGCATGCACGCAGTGACCTATAAAAGCAAGCTCCACCTGCTCCCTGTGCGCTCTCTCTCTCTCCCTCCCCATCTTCTCCCTCTCCTCCCTCCCCTTCTCCCCCTCCCTCTCTCCCTCCCTTCTCTTGTCTCTCCCCTCACTCCCTCTCCTCCCCCTGCACCTTTCTTCTCAGTAGGCCTACCCACCTCCACCCTTTCCCTGCCCTAATAAAAACTCTTAGAGTGGGTTCGTTGTACCTCCTGTTTTCTCACGCCTGGAAATAAACACCGACAAATAAATAACACTAACTCAACCTTCACGCCCTCCCCTTATCTGTCTTTTTCTATCAAAAGCTATTGGGGTGCTGCCCCTCGATAGCCTTCATCCAGAGTTCCAGAGGAGATGCTGCCAGTGGCAGATTAATCTGAGGGGTTCACTAATAAATCTATGCACACGGAACTCTTCAGTCCATACACTTTATTCTTCTGAGTCAGTTCTCTCTCTACACAGCTTCTCTTCTGCTCTCACACTCAGCTCCTTTCTTGCCTGATTCCCTCTACATCTTTCTGCTGTGCTATGTGCTATCTTGATTCCTTCATCTTAGTTCTGCCCCATCTTGGTCTTTCTCATCGTGTTCTTACTCACCGAGTTCTTCCCCATCAGGCTCTTCCTTATCTCCCATCGAGGCCTTCTAGTTCTCCAATCTAGTCCCCAAGTCTCTGAGGTTTACAGTTATACACCCTTGCAGTAGCAATGCTCTGGCTAAGGCAAGGTCACCAGGCTTGAATTCTTACAGGGTCATAAAGGCAGACAAGAGTTTCCTCAGGCAGTGACTGTCAGGCTTTCTTCTACAGCCCAAAAGGGGAGTGTTTAAGGGAGGAGGTCAACTAAGAGCTAAGACTGGTTAATATATCAGAAGAAGGGAATTTATGTGCTCAGACTACATTCCTAGGAGTGGTTAGGTAAATGTTAGGAGTCTATAATGTTAGTATAAATACCACTAAGGCTGTATAAGAAAGGAGGGTCTGGGCTTAATTTGCACAAGAGACAAAGCTATGAACCAGACCTAGGAGACAGGCGGTGTCTCCGTAAGGGTGTTTACCTTAATTCAGGAGACTCAGAGGTTTGTCTGAAATGCTTTGTCCTCTGTGCCTTTTGGCTCTGGATGCTAGAGAAGTATATCAGATAAAATACACTATTAGAAGTTCTTGGGGGAAGTTATGAGAGCACACAAGAAATTCATAGCAGGAAACAGCTGACATTAAAAGCTGAATAACGCCGGGCGGTGGTGGTGCACGCCTTTAATCCCAGCACTCGGGAGGCAGAGGCAGGCGGATCTCTGTGAGTTCGAGGCCAGCCTGGTCTACAGAACAAGATCCAGGACTGCCAGGGCTACACAGAAAAACCCTGTCTCAAAAAAAAAAAAAAAAACAAAAAACAAATAAAAAGGGGGCGGGGGACAAATTTATCACGGGCCTACAGGATGGCTCAGTGAGTAAAGATACTTGTTACCAAGTCGGAAGACCTGAGTTCAACCCCCAGAACCCACATTCGTGGAAGGAAACCTGACTCCCACAAGTTGTTCTCTGCCCTCCACCCACACACTAGAGGCATGTGTGCACGCGCACACACACACACACATACACACACACACACACACACACACACACAATGTAAAAAGAAAAAAATGTCATGTTTTTCAACAGAGGTAAATGCCGGAAACCATCTAAAACAAATTTCCTTTTGTTACTGGGGACTGTACACATACGAGGCACCTATTCTAGAACTAAGCTGTACCCCGACCTCAGGGTGTACGTATGTCTAAGGTTTATATTTTTAATGATGTGTAAGTGTGTCTAAGTGAAGTTCAGGTGCCCCAAGAGACCTGGAGTCTGATACCCTGGAGCTGGAGTTACAGGTGGTTGTGAGCCACTTACTATGGGTGTCGGGAACTGAACTCGGGTCCCCTGCAACAGCAGTACACATTCCTAACTGTTGAGCCTTCTCTGTAACCCCTGGAAATGTTTTGGTTCAAAGTGTACACATAGATCCAGGACAGGCACCAAAACTACCCAGAGAAACCCTGTCTCAAAAAACAAACAAAAACAACAACAACAACAAAGTGTACACATTTTCTAGGAGAGCCAGAATTAGCTGGAAGGACAGGGGAAGGGGAAGAATCAGTTATAAACCCATAGGAGCCCAGGGGTGTTCAGGGTGGGGGACATAAATGTTCTGCAGTGACTGAGGTGGGTATAAGGTTGTGTGCGTGTGTCAAAATGTGTGGGGTTTTGTTTTTCTTTCACCATGGGGCTTGAATCCAGGGCAAACACTATATTACTGAGCTATACCCCAGACCAAACTGTACTTCTGATTTGCTTGTTTTCTAAGACAGGGTCTTGCTATGCAGCCTAGGCTGCCTTTGAACTAATCCTCTTGCCTGGGTGCTGGTATTACAGGCAAGTAATTGAAATTCCTACCTCTAAAGCATACTCATTTTTTTGTTTTTTGTTTTTTTTTGTTTTCAGACAGGGTCTCTCTGTGTAGCCCTGGCTGTCCTGAACTCGCTCTGTAGACCAGGCTAGTTTTAAACTCACAGAGATCCGCCTGCCTCTGCCTCCGGAGTGCTGGGATTAAAGGTGTGTGACACCATCTCTGGGCTTTGTACTTTTTTTTAAAAAAAGATTTTATTAATGTATGTATGTGTACACATGAATGTGTACTGTGTGTATCCAGGTACCTGTGGAGGCCAGAGGGAGTCAGATCCCTTGCAACTGGAGTTCTAGGTGGTTGCAAGGTACCTGATGTGGGTGCTGGGAACCAAACCCAGGTCCTTGTCAAGAACAGGAAGCCCGTCTCTCCAGCCCTAAGCTGGACTGTTCTGTTTCTGAGACAGTGTACTGGCATCTGTACTGGCCTGCCCTGAGGGTCCTGACAGGATACACCTCAGCTGCAGCCACTGAGAACACCCCCTGTGCACATTCCTTATAAAAGGCAGGCCCTGTACATCTCCTGACTTTCTCTTCCTTGGCTCTTGTCCCCAGGGACCGGTCTCTGTCCCCTTCTCTCTCCTCCTCTCAATAAACCTCCCATGTGTATGGTGT